TATATATATATATATATATATATATATATATATATATATATATATATATATATATATATATATATATATATATATATATATATATATATATAATATATATATATATATATGCAAGTGCTGATGCACGCGCATCTTTTTGCACCGCTTAATTTAAATGTATCTCTTTTTCACTTTTTTTTTCATAATAAAAAGTTACAGTAGAAATTAGAATCTGATATTCTCAAAAGATGTAGAATTTGTTTTAAACTCGAAAAAAATTATTCATCTTAACTCAATTTTATTTGATGTTACTTAGACAAAATTCCCTTTGTTTTGGAGCAGCTGATGCAATTGTTCTTCATCAAATACAAATGTGATTGGTTAAAGAAGAAATATTTTAGGCTTTAGCCAATCGTATTTGTACATTTTTACAAATTTTTCCTATCAATTTGTAGCAAGTGATACAATTGTTCTCTAAATCATAGATGATTGGTTAAAAAACAGTTTAAACCAATCACTATTTATTAAAATAACAATTGCATCAGTTACTACAAACCTTTCGCAAAAAAATCCTAAAATAATTCAAATATGAGAATGTTTTTATTAACCAATCAATTTTGTAGAAAGTTTAGAACAATTGCATCAGTTGCTCCAAATCGTTCAAAATTTACAAAATTCTGATATGTCACTTAATATAAGCGCTTGATATATATATCAATAGTGTATAATCAAGTGTATACACTCATAACTTTTGTCGAAGGACTTTGCTAGTAAATTAAAGTTTTGAAACAAAGATGAACTTTTTAGTTTTAAATGCAATTAAGGCTAGGTATTTGCAAAATAATCGCAAATATAAAAATCAGTTAACTGAAGAGTTGAAAATTTTAAATAAAGGTGCCCAGTGCAGCCATATAGTCAGTCTTGAAAGTTCTAAAATGGGTTGTTTTATTTGGAAGCCAGACGATAGTAAAGATTATGGTGTTTTAATGTAAAACTCTAATACTAAAGTTAATGGTTTTATATATTTCCAGCTAGAAAATAAAATAAACTGATTTTGTTTTATATACTTTTTTATTTATTTTTACTTATCCTTTACACTTTATTAGTTCTAAAAATGAAACAAATAAAAAACAATTCTCTGATGTTTCTTTTACAGAAAAAGTTAATTCTGCAAAACATGTCAAAATCCAATCTAAAATTAACTTTAAAAAAGGCAATGCTTTTATAGAGTTGCCTTTTGAACTTTCTATAGATTATAAAATTATTGAGTGATTAGATTCCAACTCAGTTAATATTCCTTTATATAAAGACTCGAATACTTTATGTGGTGTTTCAACACATCTAACCCATGGTAAACTTTTAACCGCTGACAAAGACGATGGAATTATGATAGATATGGTAAACAAAGTATTTCGTCCAAATTTTATATTTGTTTGATGTGCTAGTATTCCAAATAAGTCTTTAATACTAAATTTATTTTTTAAGTCTCATCAAGAATGGAGTAATGCTGTTCGTGATTTTAAAAACATGAAAAAGCTGTGTTTTACAAAGAATTACGTTCTCGTTGTAACCCCAAAAGTAATATTATTGAGATTGATTTAAACAACTCTTGTTTAAATTAAGACAATTATATTTCTTGGTTGGAAGAGGTAACTTCATACAGCTTTTAAAAATTTGTGTTGATGCTGGTGATCAAATATTAGCTAATCATCTTTTTTCAAGTCCAAAAAATGCAACCTTTACATCAAAAACTACCCAAAACCAACTTATTGATTCTTGTGGGAAAACAATTGAGGTAGTTTTAATAAAAAATGTTAAGCATTCCAATTATTTTTTCAATTCTTTGTGAAGCAGTTGACTGTTTAAATGCTGAACAAATGTCATTTTTTTTAAGATATGAAATTCAAATAATGGGATTTGCGAGGATTTCCTAACATTTATTGATTGCAAGCAGGGGCGGATTAGGCTTTTGAAAAGGCCCGGGAAATGCTATCATGAAAAAGGCCCACCAAGTGACCTTTTTTTTAAATTGTATTCGCTTGTAACCCCTCACTTTTAAATACTCTTGTAACACTATTGAACAATAAGGACTTGTATACACTTGTTTAAAATCAATAAAGATGTCATTTAAGTACATGTGTTATATTTGTTTTATAAATTCATACTTAAATTACAAAAACTAAAAATCATAAAAACAGTAACTTTTTTAATTCACCACTTGATTTAGCAAGTTCATCAATAATTTCATCGTTGATTATGTTACTCAATATGTCCTTTTCAATGCACTTCATCACCAGTGAGCCCAAGTGATCTTCTGTCAACTGCTTCGCAATCTTGTTTTGACACATTTCAAATTGCTGAAACTCCTCTCACAAGCCACTCGGGTAATTGAAATTGTGAGCATGAATTTGTAAGCCCTGTGCAGCATGCAGTAGCTCTTGCCGTAAAGATTATATTTTCGAAGCACATGGTAGCAACAGTAAATGCACGAGCGACACTTCTTTAGAGGGCCGCATTTATGGTTAGTGGCGTTATCTTCATTATCAACCTCATCCTCATCAATCGTGATTTGATCAGAACAGTCGTAACTCTCTTCCAATGTTTTTTTTAAAACTGGCCACTTTTTTGCAAAGTCCAACAGCTCAAGCAACAGCTGCGCTTCTTCGCCTAAAATATAAAAAGATAAAGATAATCTTATAAATATTCAAAATAAAGAGATAACCTTATCTAATGCTAATTAAAAATTTAATGAAGTTTACCAATTTGGAAAACAAAAATACTTAAGCAATTACTAATAAAATTTAACAAGAAACCAATCAATTTATAAGTAAATTTACACACCTGTTGCCAAAATATGACAGCAGATTTTCTGTAGGGCTTTTTTTGGAATATTACATTCCAATAACTCAAAAAATCCGTTGGGGTCAAAACAACTCATATCAGAGTACAGTTCACCGTGTGATGCAAACCGAGTTGACAGACTTCTAAACACTATGTCTAGAATACCATTGTAGACCTCTACTTCAAACTTTTTTAAAGGATCTGTAAGTGGATCATCATTTGCTAATTCTCCTGGAATTACTTTTCTTATTCTTTTGCGTACCATTGGCAAATCTGTCTGTATAACACAATCACATTCTTTCTTGTCAAGAATGGTTGTGGACACATTAATGAAATGGTCTGCAGCCACCTTAACTTGATCAAAATTGCGTGATTAAGTCTGATTTTCTGAAATAGTTACTTTAACCATCTCAAACGCCTTTATGAAATTCAATCTAGACGTCTGTAGGTATTTGGACAGTGGTGTGGTTGCTTCCATTATTATTAGATATAAAAATCCCGTCAGTACAGTCTTATACTTCAATAAGGACGTTAATAGACACTGCGCATCATAGCGTGCTTTAACACTTAATTTAGTGGAAGAGACTGCTATTTCCAGTACTTGAACGACGTCTGTGTATAATTCTCCTTCACCGTCGCGAAACGTATCAAAAAACTTTTGAAGGGCATCGTGTTTGGACCCCCATCTAGTAGCACCAATAACACTTAGTCGTTTGTGAATGTTTTGGCCATTTTTTTCTTTCATGTGATCAGTCCAAAGGTCCATTCTCAAGTAGGACTCACGAAAAAACATAGCAGCCTTTTGAAGTATACCAAAAAGTGTCATTGAAGCTTCATTACTGCTGGTGGCGTCACATACGACCAGATTTAAAACATGCGCATAACACCATGTGTGAATGTTTCCAGGAGACGCTTTTTCTAAGAATTTAGTAAATCCATTGTATACCCCGGCCATCAGACGCGCCATCAGTACTATCTGACACACATTTAGTAATATTAATGCCATTTTGTTCCAAAACATTTGACATCAATTTGCACAGATCACTGCCTTTTCCAGAATGTGAATCGACAACACCAATAAGTCGCTCCTCAACTTTGTCGGTAACGTATCGCAGGACTATCGCACATTTATCCGCTTGTGTTACATCTTGAGTTGTGTCAAGTTGCACTGAGAATATTCCCGCTTGTTGTACTTCTTCAGCAATGGCACTTTTCATTAATTTAGCGATTCCTAATATAATTTGGTTTACAGTGGATTTGGAAATAAAAGTGTTTCTGTATTTCTTGTGTTTTAAAATATTATAAAATTTTAAAATGTTGTATTGCTGACGGCCCACCGGGAAATGTCCCGGTGTCCCGGTGGCCTAATCCGCCCCAGATTGCAAGACTGGTACAACTGATCTTAGTCTATCTCTAAATTTACTAGATTTAAAGTAGGTGAATATAAAGGAGTTGCTATTTGGATAAAAGCTCTTAATAAAAATGTTTTTTTTAATTCATTGTACAAGTCATAGACTTATTTTAGTTGCAGTAGCAAGGAATAGCGCATACCTTGACATTTTGATGAAAAATGAAGTATTTTATAAAACTATTTAAAATAAATAAATATAACTATTTTATTGATAATTTTAATTAAAAAAAAATTTCCGGGGGATATTTTCCGGGGAACTATTTCGGGGGTATTTTTTCCCGGGGATTTTTTCCTGCTACCATTTTTGTTGGTATATTTTAAAAAAGTATGCAACTTTTAAAAGCAGTTGGAATGAATTATCTAATATATATTTCATTTTGCGCTGTGCTAACGACAAAAAGTATTTATCTTAATACATTACTGAAGCCATAGTAACTATTTCTATTGACTTAGTGTTCAAAGATATAATTGTTTTTACAGTAATAAGTTAAATGTAATTTATGTTACTTTTAAATTATTTTTTATAAAAAAAAAAGAAACCAAACATTAATTAAAGTTTACTACTGATATAAAAACGAAACGAGTTTAAAAATGAAAGTAATTTGTTCATAAAGTAAAATAATCTTTTCATACATACCAAATATGTCATACTTATTGATGAAAAAACTTACATATTTTGTAATTAAAAAAAACTTATATTTTTGTTTGGAAAAACGTGTATCAGGCCTTAGTTACATTGAGAAGTCGCAAACCCCTTCCAACCCCCCCCCCCCCTCTTCCCTCTTTTAGCGTGACGTATTTGTGGACGACCCCAAAATGTATATTCTCTCAACATAAATAAAAGTCAATATTATTAACATTTTGTAGTTTATGAAAATGTATTGCAAATTATGTGATGGAAGTTTAGAAGAAGATAATTTACAAAAAATTTGCACTAACTGTGGAACTGTTCAAGGTTATTTATTTTTATATCTTATCTTAACCTTATCTAAATTTAGCTGAATGTTACCCATTTAATTCAAAGTTTATTTAAATAGGTAGGGAAGAGTCGTGTACCTCAGAAGTATTTTCAAACTTTGAAAAATATAAAAATACTTATAATATGTTCTGTAACAATATATTTTCTTTAATTTGATCCCTTCATCCCTTTTTTCATATTTAAAAAAATAGCTTACACAACACCAAAGTACACCAATAGTGTTGTACCTTGCAGGTATCTATTTTGTACCTTAGAGGAATTATTTTTTTAACAAATTAAGTACTCAACATGGTAGAAATTTGATATAATGTTTACTTTTTTTGATAATTCGACTTCATATTAGCCTCATTTGAGATTGGACTTCATATTAGCCTCATTTGATAATTAGACTTTATATTAGCCTCATTTGAGATTGGACTTCATATTAGCCTCATTTGAGATTGGACTTCATATTAGCCTCATTTGAGATTGGACTTCATATTAGCCTCATTTGAGATTGGACTTCATATTAGCCTCATTTGAGATTGGACTTCATATTAGCCTCATTTGAGATTGGACTTCATATTAGCCTCATTTGAGATTGGACTTCATATTAGCCTCATTTGAGATAATATTTATCTAACTAGTTAGAACTATATAAACTATATAATAATTTATATAGCTATATATGATTATAAATTTAAACTAATTTAAACTTAGAAGTGTTAAAAACTTACATAAAAAATAAAGTTTATTAAGAAAAAAGTAATAACAAATGTCTGCATTAAAGTTTAGTAATATTATGTCTTTAACTTTGATTTAGCATTTGTCTATTCTACATTTAGGTAATTAAAGTTAATGTCAAATGATGGTTTTTCCAGCTGTCATGCTAAACTACCTGTAATAAAGAGGTGTAGCAACTGTAAGACTGCGTCTGATTTGTCCAACTCCTACACAATTTTATCTTGTAAATTTATCATGTAAATCTTTGTGAATTTGTGTCCTTTTTTAAATACTGAATTTGAAAAATGTGTCAGCAACTTCTATTACCTCTGCTACAAAGTTTTTTACTGCACGTTTGACTTGAACTTGTGCCAAGATAAAAACTCCAGGCTGGATTTTTTTAAACCTGAATCTTTCACAACTTTGAAGTCTACTTTTGACTCAGCAGATACTTTGTCAGATACTACATCTATATTTTCCTATAATTCTGTATTTTGCTCCATAGAAAAGCTCAGCCTTTTTTCAAATCTTTCAGATGAAGGCCACTAGAAAACTGTGTGTACTATTATTAGGAGTAATAGCTAAGAAAACAGCCGGCAATTGTCCGACAATTTCTGATACATCATAGGTTGTTGCTGGTTTCCTGACATTGCCTGGTTTCAACATCTAATCCTTCATTTTTTGTTGTAATAAGTTTTAAATGGACCAAATACACCTTTGTCTAAGGGTTGTATTTTATGGTTGTGGATGAAATGTTACCATTGTAATCCCATTATATTTTGCCAGCTGGGCTGTTGGTATTGATATATGATTTTCATGGTTGTTAAGTAAAATAATAGATGGATTTTCCTTACTTGAACAAGTATGCTTTACAAAATGTTTGATAAATCCTGGAAACAATTCTTCACTTGATCATCCTGATGGGTTTGCTACACCAAGTTTACCTTCTGAGGCCCCTTTTAACATAAAGTTTTTAAAGTTTTTATAAGGGAAAATCTCCAGTATTTATTGATCCAATCATTGTTATACTTTATCCTCGTTCACCACTAGTCATTCCACCAACCTGCTTTTGACCTTTTTTTCCTAAGAATTTTTTTTTTGAAGATTTTCAGCCAATCTTTTCCAGCCATTTGGTTTCTATTCCAAGATGCATTATACTTTTTTTAATTTATGCTTTCCCAAATTGGTATGGCAATTTTTGAACAAGTTTTAAAGTCAGTCCATACTAAAGATCAGCAGCTTTCAAAATGTAATCATCTAGAATTTTATCATCTTTTAACGTGAAGACTTGCTTAACATTGTTGTTTTTCTTGTAAAAATTTTTTGTAATGCATCATAGATTGTTGCTGGTTTCCTGACATTGCCTGGTTTCAACATCTAATCCTTCATTTTTTATTGTAATACGTCTTAAATGGACCAAATACACCTCTGTCTAAGGGTTGCATTTTGTGATTGTGGATGAAATGTTACCATTGTAATCCCAATATATTTTGCCAGCTGAGCTGTTGGTATTAATATATGATTTTCATGGTTGTTAAGTAAAAGAATAGATGGATTTTCCTTACTTGAACAAGTATGCTTTACAAAATGTTTGATAAATCCTGGAAACAATTCTTCACTTGACCATCCTGATGGGTTTGCTACAAAATTGGTATGCCAATTTTTGAACATGTTTCTAAGTTAGTCCATACTAAAAATCAACAGCTTTCAAAATGTAATCATCTAGAAATTTATCTTCTTTTACCGTGAAGACTTGCTTAACATTATTGTTTTTCTTGTAAAAAAAATTTTCTAAACCTGATTGAAGGAGCTGATTTCTGTGTCTTCTTAAGGTTGTTTCAAAAATGTCAAAGTCCATAGAAGCTCTGTAAAAAGACACTTCTTTGTTCACTATAAGTTTGACAACTCTTTCTATCTCTTCTTTTTATATAGGTCTTCTTTTAAATACGTCCTTATTTCAAGGCATTTTATTAATTTTTTATTTTATAGTTTTCCTGAAAATAAATGAAAAACTCTATTGAATATTTGTACAATCAATTTTTCATAAAATGTAAGAACAACATAATTTTTAAAGCATAATTGCAAATGCTTTTATCAGTATTTAATTATTTTTTTTAATTTAAATTTTTTTTTTTAATTTAATTAATTTTAATTGCTGTTTTATATTAAGCTATTTTACAAAAATACTTACAATTTAACAAAGAAATACACATTATACTAAAGACATTGTTAATAAACAAAAAAATCATAATAAACTATAACAACACATTACATTAAAGAAATAATTTCAATTTTTACTCGTAATAGTATTTTTACTTGTAACATATTACATTTTTTTACTCGTAATAGTATTTAATCAGCAGTAGTAAAATCATCTAAGTGTGTACCTCATTTTGTACCTCAGTGGTACCACCAAGGTACACAACATTAATTACTTAAAAGGTACACCACTATATAAGTTTTTACAAAATCGCTACCATATATTTATAGGTAAGGAGTTAAGCAGTTTTTGATACGCATAAATGATGCTGAAAACATGCTTTACAAATTTTGATAATTGATTTTGAAATAACAATTTATACCAACAGTTGTAAAAAATATCAAATATGCCCTAAAAAAATTACTTTTTGGTAATCAAAACAAACTTATTTTTGTTGCAACAATGCATGTGCTTGTTGCAACAACACAAAGTGCCTGGGAGGCACATCAATAGTGTTGCAGCACTATTGATGTGCCTCCAAGCTACACACACCTCCAAGGGACACTACTCTCCCCTAAATTGATTCCAAGTGTAATATTGTCATATGATATAAAATTATAATTAAATAGTATATTATAATCAAATATATATCAATGGTTTAAAGAAGAACATGCACATGTCCATTTTTGACAGAATCAAGAAAACAAGTTTGAAATTCTTAACTGAATAATTATAAATTAATTTAGAAGATCAGTAAAATTGTAATCTTATTTTTAATGTCATTAATTATTTATTTTTAATAGTATTTATGGCGAAAATGTCTAACTGTCAAATATGTACAAATATGTACATGAATCTTTTTATGCTTTAAATCATCATTTAAAGTAGTTATTTGATATAAAGAATAAAAAAACAATAATAATAAAACATTTGAATAATTTAAATATTACTTTATTGTTAATTTTATGGCTAGTTTAATTTTAATATATTATAATTTAATACTTTAAACTATAAAAGAAAATAGTAAAAGACATTTTTTTTATTTTTATTTTGTACAATAAGATTCATTAGAACATGTAACTAAAATACAAGCAATTTTCTAAGTTATTTCTTGGCTATACAGCAAAGCACAACATAAACATATTAACCTCTGGAGCCTAATACATTGAGTTTAACACATCTGTAAAATGTGTTAAACTCCAGAGGTTATAAGTGTAAATAAAAAAATGCACATACAAATACATAAGGTAAAAACCTCTAGGTTGTATATTCAACCTAAAGGTAAAATTAGCTACATAAAAAACAATAATGTTCATAATGTAAAAATTACAAATAAAAGCAAAGTGTATAAAACTAATAGTTTATACTATTAGTCTAAAGTTCTACTTGGAATACTTTCCTCTATTAAATTTTTGAATATCATTCTTTCATCTTTAAAATTAAAAGTTAAAGGACCGGTTTAAAATAGTTGCTATGTTATCTTATATGTTAACATTTTAACCTCTTTTGAACTAAAGACAAAACTTAGCATCAGTCAGTTGCAAATTTTCATTACTTTGTTTATAAAGTAGTTATCGTTAGTAATATATTTGATATTTGTTTCAAATCAAAGAGGAACAAGTCAGATAGATCATTAGTCTGATAAACAGATTTAATTTGTTTTGAATAAGGTCAATGAAAAATCATCAATTTTAAAAAAGGGATGCAGATAGTTTTTGCTGTACTTTGATATGCTAATGGGGAATTTTAAAACTGTTTTAATGCTCGTTAGAGTTGTCATTTAGCAAAGCCATATAATAGATTTAGTACAGCAAGAGATTCAAACAAATTATTTAGTGGTAGAAAAAAATGAATTCCAGATTTTATATGAGCTCTGGAGACTGATTAAAGTTGAATAATGGGTTTGTTTATATATGCTCTTTGGAGTGGAACTCTAAAGTGCATATATAAACAAACCCATTATTTAACTTGAACATATTTTGTATATGGCTTTGATTATTATTTAGATATCTGAGGTGTTTCAGTTTATTATTGAGGTGTAGGAAATAACTGTTGGTTTAAATTATGTGTTTTGTAACTGAACTTTTTACTTTAAATGTATATCATGTATCCAAAAAAAAAAAAATTTAACAAATTAAACAAAAACTTTTTTACTTGTAGATAAGTTTAGTAAAAAAAAAAAAAATTAAATTGATGTAGTAACTTATTAAATTTTTAATTTTAATAAGTTACTAGATCATCTGCCTAATATAGTTTAATATTGTGTTTAGAACAAACATGAATTGAGCATTATCCTACTATGGTCCTAAACTTATTAGAATATACTTCTTATTAGAATATACTTCCAAATATCATATGCGATGGAAAAAAATACAACTATTTATAAGAAAAACTAAAATCTTATTTAATGGTGAATGGTGAGCTATTTCACCAGAAAAATCTTAATTGTTAAATTAAAATCTCTTAAACATTAATATTAAAAATTTTACTAATATGATAATTTGTTGCACAGCTGAGCAAGTGTTTTGCCAACTTTATCCACTATTCTGGCTAAACACAGTAGTTGTGGGTAAACATATGTATTAAAGGATGCAATTTCAAATTGCATCCTTTCCAAACTTAATCTTTAATATATGGGTCTGATCTTATTGCCTCTCCCAAATTTAAGACAAAACTATTTGCAAATAAATTTTTCTCTTATTCGTCTCTCAAATTAAATGACCACACACTTCGTCCAAAAATGCATTGTAAATGATGTTGAAGCTGCTTTATCTCCCAATATTTGTTTATTGTTTATGACAATGGGAAAGTGGCTTGAGCCACTCTACCATTGTTATAAGTTTGCATCTCTTTTTCTTTTCTATTAATAATATCATGGTTGCTGCTCAAAGGAGCTATCATCTCTAGTTCCATCAATAAAAACTCATTCTTGCTTGACTCTTCATTCAGCAAAATTGCATCATTTTACTGCATCTGTCCCTGCATGCTCTAAAAACTTTTATCTAGTTTTTTCCTCCTCTTTCATTCCTTTGGAAGTCTCCCCATATTTTTGTGACCTAAACAACCTACAACTATTCTTCTGTCAACCATTTCCTTGCTTATTAACTCTATTCTTTGTTTTCTAGTAACTCCCAACCTAATAGTGGTTGCTTGCAATCTTGTTGGGAGTGAATTTTTAAAAATGTCGATTTGGATCTCCTCGTTCTATGGCTGACTTGCTAACTGTTGTAACCTAAAGGTTTTATCGTGGACTAGATGAAGGCAGCAAGACAAGGGTTGCCTTGATATATCAAATACTTTCAATAAAATTTGACATGCTGGTTTTCTCCATTAGCTTGCTTGATATGGTGTATCTGGGAATGTGTTTGATGTTATTAAATCATTTCTTTGTAACTGCAGTTTTAAAGTCATCCTCAAAGACCAACACTTTTCTTCATTATCAGTAACTTTTAAGGTACTGCACGGTTTTATCTTTATTCCTGTACTGTTTTTTTATCTATACAAATGATCTGCCTGATAATACATCTAAAACGGTTCTATTTGCAAACGACTCGACTTTATTCTTATTTGACAGAAGAAGAATGTTTTCTTACTCCTTTTCTTACTAATCTTTTTTTTTTTCTGTTTAGAAAAGGAAAGGAGATTTATGTTGTATTTAAGTTGTCATAATTGGGCTGATATTTCAAATGATACTCTTTTTCATCTAAACAAGGTCCAAAAACGTATTGTAAATGTAGTTGGACCTGGTCTATGTCAAGCTTGAGCCAAATTCCCGTCGTTGTAAAGTTACATCTTTTTCTTTTTTCTACAAATATCATCATGGTCGCAGCTCAAAGGAGCTATCATCTCTAGCTCCATCAACCAAATATATTTTTTTCTCCATCAACCAAATATATTTTTTTCTTTATAATTTCGCAAGTTCTAGATATTTTTTGTGGTTGGTGAGAGTTATTTTTGTCAAAGTTTTAGTAAATTTAAAAAATAAACATGTACATATAATTGTTTCAATACAACCAAGAAAAATAAATTTTGTATTTAAGTTGAGCGTTTTGAAACTAAAATAATAACATTTTTATGATAATGTGTTGCAGTATAAGTGATACTTCAGTTAGCAGGGCCGTCCCGAAGAGGTCTTCCATGGGGAGGGGGGTGTATGTATTGTTTTGCCAACTAGAGACACCAAAAAAAAAAAAAAAAGGTCCTCAATATTTGCAATTTGCCAACCATAGTTCAAACCTAGCCTAATTTGCCAACTCAAATGCTTATATGACAGCTTTGGGGGGTGGGACAGCCCTGACACCCCCCTTTCGGGACGGCCCTGTCAGTTAGTCTCAAATTCTAATCTCGTTACTTGCAATTTATAGATTTTTTTGGGTATTTTTTAAAACTCTATCATTAGCTAATTTACACTAAAAAACAAACAGAAAGGCAATATTTAGAGAAACTTGAATATATGAAATCACAAGAAATAACAAATTTAAAAAAAAATGTTTAAAAAAATGCGGACCTAAAAGTTTAGATTTTAATTGTTTTTTTTTTTATGAAGTTAATTTCTAACAGAGATTAGCTTTAAGTCGAATTATGAACATCAGAGTAAAAAATTCTTATTTTTACAGAAAATTCTTTTCCTGTAAAAAAAGGATTTTGAGGTTTCTTGACTCCATTAATCCACTAAAAAAAAATTTTCTATGAAGTCCTTAGAATTCTCAAATTACAGTATTCTGTTCTAATCTGGAATCCTATATTTATATTTACGTTTCTACATACAATATTTTCGCATACTTAGCTTTGCATACTTAAAAAGCTATTTATTTTTAGTAAAAACAAATCTAAAAGAGTTATACATAGATGTATTTTGTAGAGATATATTTTAGAAATAGACTTTAGAGATCGAGCAGCCGTAGCGCACTTGCCTCAGAAACAAAGTATCCGTGGTTCAAACCCCCACCTCTTTTCGTATCATATTTTATTGGATAAACTTTTGCTTTAATGTTTACAATAGTAAAAGTAATATTAAATTTAATTTCATTCAAACATTTGTCACTTTTTTTAAATAATTATAAAAGTTAAATAAAAACATAAACGTTTTCAAAAGAAAAATTAAACTAATTTTTAGAAAAAAAAATCATCCTTTTTGGGGGGCTGCGGAAGAAAGATTATTTTTCAACAACTTCAACCTATTAAAATTATATTTTAATATAAAATTTATCTGTAGTTTACTAATTTATTTTCTTTTTTTTTAGATGGAATGTTCTTAGTTGATAGTGTTGGCAACAATGGAAACGAGTTTACGTATTTTGAGTCAAATCAATCCAGTTCATATTCCTATAAAATGTTTGTAAAGCTTTTTAATTCTATATCTTCACAGTTGACTGGAGGACCAAAAGTTGTTATTCCTGAGGCAACTCTACTATTACCAAAGCTATGGAGTTATATAAAAACTCATAAGATTAGGGACAAAAAAGCATTTTTGTATGCTCTGCTTTACTTACTTTATCGACAAAGAGTAAGTGCAGCTATTTCTGTGAACCAATTCTGTAAAACCTCCGGATTTGATAAATTTTTGCATAAGCATGCTGCCATGCTCCAAGACTGGTTTGAATTGCCGATCATGACTGAAGATAAAATAAGTGTTATTTCTGAAACGATCAGAGAAACTGTGCAGGTTTCATTTAAAAAACCAAATCCTGTTCTGATAAAGGAAACAGAAGGATTAGCTCTACGTATAGGCAAAGTGATTCATGAACAAGGTTTGTATAACATTGCTTCTTCAAGTTATGTTGCATGTGTTGCTGCTGCCGCCTGCCATATATCATCTGAATATATGTATAAAAATCAAAAATGTAAAATAAAATTGACAGGAGTTAATACTGGATGGTTCAATTTTGAGAAAGTGTGTTCTTATCTTTGTATCGGAAAATTTTCACTATGGAAAGTTTTAAGAGAAATAAAACAAAAGTTATTTGAAACTGCAATGAAGTTGCCTGTGAAATGTCCCCCTTCAGTTAAACGTTATAATGATGTGTACATAGTTATTCAAGATATATGCGATTATCTTGAGTATTATAAAGAGGAAGACACCACTGATGACATAGCTGTAAAAACTCCAGTAATTCCATTAGAGTTAAAAAAATGTGTTATACGTTCCCTAAATAAATTACTTTTTTCAAATGCAGAAGTTAAACATGAACATTCAAAGGTTTCAAAATCTAAGATTGGCTTACATCAAAAGTCAAGCTCTTATGATATAAATTTTAAAAAACTTAAGCTCCAAATTATAGATGATTTTGTATCAAATGGGGTGGCTTGTAAAATTTTAAATGAAAACGTAAACAACATTTCTGAAAAGGATATAATTCTTGATAGATCTGGCAATTTTGACATTGGTGGTTACTCAATTCGACGCGAGGTGTTAGAATTTATAAGGGATATTTTAAGAGCAGGCTGTTCTTTAGAGGAATTATATATAAATGATTTTGTAAGTCTATCCAAACAATATCTTGAGAGAATAGAAAACGAAGAGAATTTATCTGAACTTTCAGACAATGAGTTAGAATTGTACTTTAATGACTCTTTTGTTGAGTCGCAGAATAAAAAAATTAGAATCTCTTAGCATATTTATTTTCACTAATTAGCATTCGATACAGCTTTAATGATTAGTAATTAATTGTTGTTTATATTTTTATCACACTAGAATTATTAAATTAGAAGCATATTTTTTGACCTCCATTGTTCTTTATTTAAAGATATCCTCAAAGATATATCCATGCCAAATATCAAATGTCATTTTCGCCGTTAAAGAATGTTTAAATTGCGTATCAAAATTAATAGCTTGAAACAAAAAAAAAGTACGTTTTGGCTTATCGCGAATTGACTTGAAAGAAACATAAAGTTTAATATATTTAAGATCTCTCATCAATAATAATCGTTTTGATTCACTCTTAAATTGCTCTAATGTAGTATTGTTTTTGTTGACAATATCTGGAAATTTTTTTCCACAAATAATACCAGTGGTACCGTTATAAAGTGAGCGTTTTTTTTTGTGTGAAAATAAAACGCTAGGAAAGTAAAAATATTTTATTCAAAGTATTGATCATTGCTAACTACACATTTTGACCACCTTTCTGGCAATTTGTAGATGCTATGCCAATAGAAATTGTTAATCTTTTTATTAGTAAACCAATCAGACACCCAATTTTGGATTTTGTAGAAATCGGAGTGTTGCTCAGCCAACACCTGTCCCATCGATGAAAACCAATGGTATTCAGAAAGGGTCTAGTCTGGTGAATACGACGGGTATGGTATTTTGCTTTGATTGTATTTTGAACTGGTTTTGCTTTATATGCAGGTACATTGTCGAGTAACAAAATTACTTTCCTGTCTTCTGGCTCATTCTGGTCTTTTTAATCAATGCATAGTTCAAATTGATCATTTGTTATCTGTAGCGATTCGTATTAACAATTTCACCAGGTATTAGAAGCTCATGTTTCTAATACCTGGTAAAATTGTTAATACGAATCCCACCAAACACAGACCATTGCCTTCTTGCAAGATTTTCGTGGATAAACACATAATTTTCTAACGTTTAGGATTTTTAAAAGAAATCCATTTTTCATAACCAGTAACAATTTGATGCAAAATTGATTTTCTTTCGTGTCTTTGAAATTTGACTTCACAGGGCCGATGACACGGGTTTCGAAGTGAAGGGGCACAAGCGCCAATTTTTAAAAAAAGTTTTCTATGTCTAGAATTTTCTTTAAAAAAATTTATGAATGTCTATAAGAAGCTTGGGGTGGGTTCAAAAAATTAACAAACATTACCCCCCCCCCTCCTCTTATTTTATTACGGACTCGAGAGTAAACAATTTTAAATGTCAAAATTGCTGTTTTACCAACTGCATCTTTATCAGTTCAAAAATTCTTCATTAATTGTGATAATTCTTGGAGCTCATTAGATTTTTTTAGAAGACTTAAAAAGCTGGGTTTTCCTTTTCCGTATGATGCAGAGGTGGTATCACACCCTGACCATGCATGTACAAATAATAAGTGCTCTTTAAACTCGCTGATTGTGTGAGTTAATTCTTTGACATTCTAAATGTTTTCTCTCCAACGATGCTAAAGCATAACAGCTATATCAGTGTCATCAGCTGCAACTTCAACTTCGCTATTTATTGCTAGCTGTAAAACGGTTGAAACAATTTTTGTATCAGCATCTTTTGGGTATATACGTTCTTTGTGCCCTGCAGCCATAAGATGTTTTGCTAGCAGTTTAATGAACTTTACTATGTTTTGTTGAGATAATAAAAAGCGCTCCTGGCCTAAAAGCAATCTATTATCATCATGCACATTGATCAGATGAGAATTATTTCCTTCATGATTAAAGCTCCCTCATTGATTACAAATCTGAAAAATTTTGCTTTCATTTCATCTTCTTTGCATTGAGCCTCTTGGTAAAAACAACTTCTGCAGTGATGATTTATCTGGTTTCCTCATCAATCCTTTTTTAAATAACGCAAGGGGTATGGTTGTAAACTCATAACTAAAATAGTGTTCAACATTGTCATCTCTTAGAGCAATTGCAGCAATCTTGTGAACAGAATGGTTGGGTTAACATGCACAGAGCTGCATTCCTTCAGTTTTATTCCATTATGCAATACATCCGGTTATTTTATTTGGTCTCGACGTCTGATTTTAGCTTTGACGATAACTAAGTTGTCTAACTTGTTATGAATTATCAATCCAATTTCCTCAGATTTTTCAAAATTTATATCATCATTTTCGCAGTCTAAAAAATCCCTTGCACGTCTTGCTAACCCCATTTCTTCGTGTTGTTCGCTTGTTTCTATATCACATCTTGTTAGAGTTTTCATGGCATCGTGTATAGCCGCACTGGAGTTTAGAGTAAGTACCCTAAGAGTTCTGACACTTTCTGTTAGTCCACGTCCTCGAGTTAAGCTATCTCTACTTTTTACAGAACGCACTATTGTTTGTTCTATTACCAAATCAGACCAAAGCCCCGCCCAATAACGACTGGTTCTTCTTACAACATGTGATCCATTATAAAAGCAGTCACTAAACTAAGAACTTTTGAGACACCTAAATTCCGGCATTCTTGGCATAGTTTATGTGCCCAGTTGCAGCAAATGAATTTTGCATAAGCTTTGTTGTATATAAGTGAAAAGACCAATTTGATGTTCTCTCAGCAATAATGAAGTTTTTTGCGATTGTAACATATTCCATATATTGAAGCCAGAGTTCTGTAGTTCTAGATTGGAATTTCAGAGATTTGATGAATTTGTCTAATTTACTTAATAAGTTGCTCTGTTTCTACAAACTTCTTAACTTCTTCTAAAGTTAAAGTACTTTTCATTGTTTTTTCAAAAAAAGGTTGAAACAAGGAAAGATTTATCTTTCCGTCGTTAACAAGCATATCCAGGAGTATAATTTTAAGGGCACTTTCTGCTAAAATTTGCGCTCAAAGCGACATTGCAATAGCTTTTCCGGACATGATGTGTATAATGCTATTTTCTGCGTATATCTCAAGAAACAACTCCTCCAAACTAGATCCTCCCATAAGTTTACCAATGCTTCCAATGTAACTCATTATAGTATAAAATCCACTAGTCTGCTTACTATATTAAAATTTTCTTCTTTAATGATTGCTGTCGCTTTTATCAATAACGGTTAGTCAAAAAATACGCAAGGTATTGTTATGTTACATTTTTTAGCCTGATTTATAACAAAATGAAGGATGGAGTAAAGGCATGTTTTATCAGAAGGATTGAGATCAATTTTTGGAAGGAACAAAAATAATGATTTTTGCTGACAAACCTTTTGAATCAGTTACTAGTTGCATAAAACCTATTCAGTTTGGCCGCGGATTCTCAGTGGAAGTGAAGAGCCCACAACCTTGCCATAACAAGCCAAATTTAATTCTTTGGAAAGTGTAATCGGAGATGCCATTTATCTGTAAGGTTTAAATTTAATCATCAGAAAGCCAATTTTACTAGATCCTAAATAAGGTAATATCTTAACACCGCAATCCGTAACTAACTCAGATGTTTTCTTTTTTTGTTTTAAACGTTTTATAGAACTTTTTTGGCATCCAGATACCAAGCTAACCGATATGATACCCATCCCGTGAAATTTGTCTTCTCCAGATAGTGTACTGTGGTCTACATTACCAAATAGTACTGTCTACATTATCAGCAACCCACTGAACAACATATGGCAGCCTTTCTTGTAGATTAACTATGTCATTTGCTTCAATGGCAGATTGTTTGGAACAAAGGGTTTCATCCGATGTAGTAAAGAATCTAATTTTTGAAAGACGATTAACTAGCCACTTAGAAACAAAAGATTTGTCTAATTCAACACCAATTTCAAAATGGAATTGGAGATATTGATATAGGCCTTGAAGCTTGCACTATGGATTACAAATACTTATTTGTTTTAGTTTGAATGGAATTATCAGTTGAAGAAATGTCATTAAGCTACTTAAAAACCATCTTTTTGGATCATAGTTGCAATTAATTATATCATCTGTAGTAGGATATTCATCTTTGTTATAGGGGATTTCCCTTATATCTGATTTAACAACCTTTGCTGTTGCTCGAACGGATCATCAACTGTTTTTATTATCTTCTTCATTTTATTAATAAGATAAGATGCCATATCTTTAAAACAAACCACATCTGCTCAAACTTTTAACTCAGCAAAGAATATATGGTTACCGTAATGATCTTTTTTTTTTAATTTCTTTTTAAGCTATCTGATTGAATATATGTTTTCATCATTTCCGTTAAGTTGGTACATCCTCTCATGATGCTCCTTCAATGTGCACAACTAACTATTTGCGTCCTCTTCTAACCGATTACAAACATTATTCTGACATAGATAGATCAAGGGGTCTTCTTTTTATATTTTCAGATGGCATATGCAGTCTAAACTTTGTCATACATGTGTTATGGTAGACATCATCTACCACGACGAAATTGATGCAACTTTTTAGACGTCCGATTACTGTTTTTCCCACGCATCATTTCTTTCTAAACAACTTCATAATTTTTTTCACGAATCGGTAAAGTTGTTACTTTAATAAAAGTACTTCTTTTATTGTTATTATATTTTTTTTCTAATCAAAATATTTTTTCTAATCAAAAGTTCCCAATTATAGAAAATAATACCGAAGATCTACAAATTTTCTTCTGGAACTATGATGAAATAGAACTCTACCTACGATTTCTGATTTTTTGAAGAGTTAAAATAGGCAGTTAAACCTTCCATTTATCTTTTTTTGATGAACTTTATTATCCCTTCAACTTGACAATGACATGTGACTTTTTACTGAGTGTTTCGTCAATAATAAACGGTTCTTTGCATATTGAACACTTTGAGCCATTTAAAAATGAATCAATATATTTGTATCTACAAAAATGCAGAATACCACTATATTGACTTTGGAGAATTTTTATCAGAAGGAAGATACAACCATAATGATCGTGCTAAAACCATGTTTTTAACTATTATATTAGTACGATTAAAGGTTTGAATTTAGTTCAATACTAAAAATAAAGTTTTTATTAAGAGTAAAAGAAATTCAAAATAAGTAAAATAAATTACTAAATAATGTTTTTACCCGTTTCTTTAAAAATTTAGGCTTACACCTTAAATAAACATAAAACACTAAAACATCATAGAACTTTTAACTACTATTTAAAATTG